AGGCGCCTCCCTGCACTAAGTATTCTTGGCTTGAAGGACTATAGGGGAGAAAAGACAGGTATGTGATAGCAACTAGAAACAAATATAGTAGAACCTGTGTAAGTTGACACCGAAGACAGTGTTTTTCAACCCTTTCATGACACACTTGAATCTATAGTTAAAGTTCCATGGCACACTTAAATTATGTTGATCTGAAAAAAGAGTTAAAAAAAGAATATGCTTGCTATGCTTTGAATTTCTTTTGAAAATAATTTAACTAAAGATCTTTAAAACTTTTCATGACACATTGGTTGAAAAATCACTGACCTAAGGGGACTGTAACAACCTGGTCAACATACAAAGATGGTTGACATAAGGAACTAGGCATTATGGACATGTGCATGTCTGATCTATGAAAATTAGGTCACCTTAAGGAGGTGGTTAATGTGGGAGATGGTCAACTATGGAAGTTCTACTGTATTGATATTGCTAAAAAAGAGTATGAGAAGAGAAGCAATCATAGTTCTTTGTCATGCTATTTCTCCCTCTCCTTAAAAAATTACAGGTGAACCAAGGGTAGACCTCAACAGAGTCAGAGCTGAAAGGAGCACACTGTTTGTATTACAGACACATTCTTTTATACCAGAGTTTGATTGAGACAATAGACTGAGAAAATGTGGAGTGAGCTCTTTTCTTCCAACTTGGGTTGGCGATAGAGAGCTGGATGAGGGTTAAAAAATCACTGATGCTTTAGTAACTATGGACCTCCTCCCTAGAAGATTATACTTAAGTTGGTGCATAGAACATTTTGCTTACCATTTCAGGGGATTTAAAATCCACCAAAAACCATTCTTAGGCCAACACTAAGTAAGAGTAAGTAGACTTAGGAAAGCAGCCCAAATAAACCAGTCAGGGAGTTATCTTCTGAGGAAAGAAGATATTTTGTTTGGGAAAATTTAAGGAGGGGGAGTACGGAAGCCTTGGTTTCAGGGTTCAGATGGATTTGAGGACAGTGGTTTTGAATTAGAAGAAGTGAATGGGGATCCAGGGACCGGAAAGGCAGAGATGATATTCCAAATACCGAACTACCAACTGACAGGCCATATGCTGAAATGTAGTACGAATAATA